ATGGAGCGGCACGTCCCCATCCACGCGCTGCCCGAGGAGATCCGGAAGGTACGAAGCGGTGGAAGGGTGAAAAACCAAACCGGTTGGGTTCGTCCCCAGAAACCTGGGGAGATGTCGTTGGCCTCGGGACAGTGGCTTGGGGTCTGGGATTTTTTGGCTCTGGTTTTAGGCTGGGTGTGTTCTGCGTTTCGTCACTGTACTGAGGTGTAATTACACAGTAATGCCGTGGAGGAACACGCTCGCTCTGCAGCGGTGGTGTCACGGCAAGGCGGTGTCACGGCAAGATGTTTTGTTGCCCTGGGTTTGGAATGACTGCAGAGGAGAACACGTAATTGTTCCAAAGGAGTGTCAATACAAACAGGAACGGAACATTCCCCTTCGTCTTTTTCTTGTATCTTCTCTGTGCGTGCGAGGCCGTGCTCCTTGTTGGGAGGCAGTTCATTGCTAAGGAACAATGCTGCTCTTTATATGGGATAACTTTCAGGGAGGCTCTTTATACGCAGTGATGCGCACAAGTCGAACGCGAGTTGGTTTTTGTAACGCTGTTTTTACTTTGGTGATAAAACACCCTGCTGTCTTTTTTTTTTTTTAAATTTTTCTTTGGCTTGCGTCTAGTGACAAGTAACTTAAAAGTTCTGTGTGCTCAGGTTAGCACAGCCTGGAAAAATTCTCCTTGGAGTAGTCCAGGAAACTGCGGAGACGGTTTCTGAGCTGTTGGTGGTTTCTGAGCATTTGAGGATGGGGAAGATAACCAGAGGAAGGGAAGAGGAATACTTGCCTGCAAAGAAGAGCAGGGGCAGAAGCTGGGAAATGCACAGACACCTTAGCGGTTGTTTTGGTGGCGGGAAAGATACCAGATGAGTTGGTTTATTTAGAAATCAGTTTGCAATCATCGACAGGACAAGGTGGTTAGCAAAAAATGAATGCCTGTTTGTCAGAAAAGCAGCTGATGGGGAACATGAGGGAATTGTGCTGGATCTAGTGCTGCTCCATGTTTCTGTTAATGACTTAAGGCTGTAGTTTGGTGGCACTTCAGCTGCTTGTCTTTTCTTTGCATAGGTTCCCGATCTAGTTCCTGATCTGCGTGCTACACGGATGAGGAGGAAGCATGCACAAACTGGAACCAGAAAGGGGTGATTTCTTTCAGTAGGAGTGTTGGTGTTTGCTGTTGTTCACTGAGCTAGGGTCTGAGGTTATAGCTACAAATAGGCTGATGCCGGTCTGGGAGGGGTTGTGGGCGCTCTGGGAACAGCACTGAACTTCATCTTCAGAAAGAGTAAGTCCAGTGCATCAATACAAATACCAAGTACCTGATGAAGCTTCCTTTTCACTTGCCAGACCCAACACTGAGCTCTGTAGTCAGGTAATAAGCAGAATAATACTAACAAAGTGCTGTAGAAGGCACATCCCTGCTGGTAGGTACGTATGTGTACAGGTTTACATTCCTACCGTGTCACCTTGGTGTAAGATACGCGAGCTCTGAGGCAACGACAGGCCAAGATTTTGGGCTGAGTGAAGTGTCAGGTCTTACATATCTTTTGCTCCTGCTCCTCTCTTCACTCAGCTGACTTGCGTCGTAGTCGCAGTGTAGTTACAATATGCGGAGCCTGATTACAAGTCCTCACAGTTTCCTACCCTCGTATTTTCTACCTTTTATGTTCACACGTCCTCATCCCCTTTGCGTTCTCTGATGCTTGGATTTTACAGCAGCTCTTTGGGAATCTTCCTCTCGGATCGCTCCAGACATAAGCAGAACTGGTGCCAGCTGTAGCTTGCGCTGCCAAACCGAGCATGTGCTCCCAACGTGCAGCTTGCGGTGCAAGGGAGCGCCTGTGTCGGGAGGGAGGGCGTTAGGCGCTGTGATTTTAGCGGCGGAGGGAAGAAGTCTCTCTTGCTGGGCGCTGTTTTGCGTGGGCTTGTAGTGCTGACAGCGCATCGAGGGTCTGTCTCGGAAAGCGAGGATGCGGAGCAGAGCTCTCAGCATCCCTTCGCCCTCTGAGCGGGTGGTGGAGCTTCGCACGGTGCTTGTCAGTGTGCTTGGAGCTGTGAGGTAGCTGCCCACAAAAGGGCGCTTCTCTGGAGGATTGTACCGAGAGGGAAGGGGGAAGGGAGTGTCTTGTGTCAACCCGGAGCAGCCTGTTCTGCAGTAAAGCCGTGGGTGTCGTGGAAGGAGTTGATATAAATTGACCATTCACAGACTGGGCCCAGTAGGTGTTGTCCACTATGTTTATTAAGTTCTAATTACAGAGAAGTGGAGGCTTCTTGGCGTTTTGTTAATGAAACAATAGACAGGAGAGAAGTTTGGTTTTGTTTGAGAGGTATCATAGACCACCAAATGATTAAAAAAAAAGAAATTAGCGGTTCCTTTACTCCACTGTTAGGGATGTGTGTGTTGGGAGAGTTCTCTTTGTTGCTTGGGATCTCTTCTGTGTTGGTTTGTTTTGTGGTTCGTTTAGGTTTTTTTCCTCAAGAGAAAAGAAGATTATCATATTGCACCTTGTTCGCTGTCTGTTTCCAGTGACAGACAAATCTTCTAGAAGCTTGTGAGCTTACAAAAGGTCTGTTTGTTTCAGCTTTGGTGTCCGTTTGATCTAAGTAGACGGGAAGATGCAGTTTCACTCTGAAGATCCTACTGAAGTGGGAAATGAAATAGCACCCATCTGACTCCTCAAAGTGCCAAACAAAAAGCCGTATTTCATTTTTATATTTTATTTGGCAAGCAAATAACCTTTGGTTAACACAAATCATAAAATAAATTGAGCATGAGATCCCCTCACAGATTAGCAGTTCTCACTCCAGGAGCCTGAGGAAGCAAGCGGAGCAGGAACTTTGAAGCCGTGTTATACGTGGGTACAGAACGTTCCATGTATCCACTGGCCACAAAACATCTCGTACGTTAGCAGTAGCAGAGGGTTACTCACTCATTTGCCGTGTGTGCTATAGATTGAGCACTTTATGGTATCTTTATGAGCACATTGCTATCTTTCATTTTTCTTGCTGTCTTTGAACCTGGGGTTAACTTTTTTTTTTTGGTAAGTTCTTGCATAGTTCCTGTTGCGTTAATGAGTTAAAGAATCTGTCCTGTTCACCCAGACTCGCTGTGCCGAAGCGAACCCAGTGGCTGTGTGTGCAGTGCCTGCAATAGCAATAGGGATTCGGGAGCAGCAGCGTTTCCATTCGTGCCTTCCAGGGCAGGAGGATCAGTGTGAGCAGGCTGGTGTCTGCGTGCGGAGCGGCAGGAGGTCTGGTTGTCACGTCCCTTAGAATGCTTGAGGTGACGTTCACGAGTTGCCTCCGTGCTCGGTGAGATTTTCAGCGCTGTGCTATAGAATGTTTAACTTTCAGGTGGGATGACGCGCTCTGGCCGCGCGAGTGTTCGGAGTGGCTGCACTGTGCTTTGGAAACGCTGGCAAATACCAGCTCCTGTTGGGTGTGAGCCCACGCGCTGCTGCCGGAGGAGACAGGGAGCTCTCAGCAGTGAGCGGGTTACCCACGGGCCCACAGCTGGTTTGGGAAAACCAGTCCCTGATCGTGCCGGCAACACTCTGTGTTGAGAGGGTTCGTGAATGCAGCTCTTCAGAACCCGGGTGGTGATCTTCTGTTCCTCATGTGGGAATGCGGGAGTCACTGACGGTCACCTGGAGCTGTGAAGCTTTTTGAGCTCTTGCTATACCCCTCGGACTAGGGCTCTGTTTGCAATAGTCAAGATTTTCTGGGAAAGCTAGGCCAAGCTTTTCTTGTATCCTTTTTGCACGGTCCCAGCAAGGTCTGTGTGGCCTGGTGGAGAGGGTTTTGTTTTTTTTTCATGATATTTGCAGGGCTTCTGGGAGTGTGTGCAGTTACCAGCAGTGCAACAAAGTCTTTAATGATTCATTAGGCTGCTTTAGTCACAGGCAGGAAAAAATTAAAGCTACCTGAAATCTGAGTATTATTTCCTGTCGTGACAACCCGGGTGTTTCAGGGCATGTTTTGAATGAAACTTTTGAGAGCAGGACACTCTGTTTTTTACTGCAAGCCTGTTTCTGTACTGCTCAGGTGTAGTCAAAGCCAATACTGTGATTTCTAGTTTGGAATTGGTATTTTATGGAAATGGAGCAAATAATTTTATAGGCAGTGTGGCTTAGCATTACAATCTATTACTCTCTGAATCCATTCTGGTGGACTCGCATGCGGAGATACTTTAAAGATCTTTCTTTGAATAAAAAACGATCAATTTCAATCAAATAACTCTTCAGTTTTGCATACACAGCAGAAGGCTCCACTTTCTTCCTAGAAAAATGAGTCGCGTGGTTTGAGTAATGATTCTTGTTGTGTGCTAGGGATTAGCTGGGTTGCCAGAAGGACAAGCAGCATGGCAGAAATGAAAGTAATGAGGCAGAGAAGCAAAACAAAAGTAGATGAGGTAGAATGGAGTAGAGGCATATATTTCTGGATATATTTCTATATCCAGAAATAATATAAGAGCACCCAGCTGCAGCATAATTTAAAAAAAAAAAAATTATGCTCCTGAGCTTTCCACATGGCTCTGCTAGAAATGTAGTTTGGCATATTCAAAGCTTTTTAAAAGCAGCTTGTTAATTGAGGATTTAAGTTCTGGCTTTTAAGAGCCATGGCTATTTATTAGCTGCTTATAACAGACCATTTCTAGTGTAAGTGATCTGTGTGCTGGATGCTGTAATACCCAGGTGCTGCTAAGTGAAAAAGGAGACTATTTTAACGGGAGTTTAGCTCTTCACTGTGCTAAATTTTGTGGGTGGAATCTGAAATATCAGGGAAGAATAGCATGTACAAGCTATTTGGCCAAGTTTTAAATGATGTAAATTCTTGTCTTGTCCTTCAGAAGGCTAAAAATGGGCCAGATCACTGATGTAATTTATTTTATTTTTTTTATTTTATTTTTTCCCCCCACTTACGCTCTACTAGAGGCTTACGGTACCGAGTCGGAGAGATGCAGTTGGAGCGACTACCCATCTTGACTCAGTTCTCCACTTGCCCTGAGTAGCTAAAGAAATCTGTGTAACCACGGGGTAAGATCAGTTCTTCCAAAACCAAGCACAGCTCTGGGCTGAAGCTGCTCGCAGGGACGCCGCTGTGGAACAGCTGCTGGAACATCGCAGCTGGTAAAGCTGCCTCACACCGCGCTTCGCTCTGAGCAGAGCTCCTGTCCTTTCCTTGTGCCACCTGGTGTAAAGTGTGTCAGAACTGTAGCTCAAAGTCTTGTGGATTAAATGTCGTACTAGTTCAAGCACTTTGTCCTTAGTTTGTTTTTTTATGTAGTTACTGTGCACGTAGTACTGTCGTGCTAACTCAGAGAGCGGGAGTGTTTTCAGGATCCCGCCCTTACCTTTTCACGTCCTTGTTTGCCCTTGAGTTTCCCTGTCCATGCAGACCAAAACCACAGTACTAAAATTACCTTCTGTTTCGTTTCTGGTTTGGTTTTGTTTTTTAATTTCCTAGTTAATTTTTTTCTGCTCACTGCTTATTCTCACTGCTGTGGACATACACAGTCCTCTTTCTAGTTAGAGCTCCCATAGTTTCCTTTTCTATTCTTTTCAAACTCTGCTTTCCCTTGATGGTTTTTTTTTTTCTACTTTGCATTTGTGAAGATGACAACAGCCTTTTGATCAGAAGTAACTCGTGAAATAGGGAATCTGAAAACAGAAATCATTGTGTATGTAATACACATTCTTAGCGGTTACTCGGTGACAATATTCTAGAAAAGGTAACTCTGTAAGCATAAGAACTAATGAAAATTTGTTTTCTACAGACTTTTGTGGGATGGCTGATCCATTTTGGTGTCTAAGATAGAAGGTCTAATGGAATTTTTTCTTCTGGACAGGCTATTTGTAAGGGTTTCTCCGGTATGGATTATCTGATAAGGGCTTGTGTTTGCGCTCCAGGGTTTTCTTCAGCAGGGAAGTGATGAAGTCTTTGTTGCCTACCTCGTTCTCCAAGACTTCTAGACACTTAAAGATTTCTGCTTTTAGTGTCAGAATTGGTTCTAGATGACAAAACATTCTGGTTCACAAGTTTCACAGGGTGGTGATGGAGAAATGCACATGTAGACAAAGTAATGTTATTTCTCTTGAAAACTGGGCAAACCCCAAACCCATTTCTTTTGTAAGTAGTCTTCCAGGCCATAAAATGCTTTCTGGCTCTGACCATTAAACTGGGGTAGCCCGAAGATAGCCTTGGCTTTATTTTGACTGAAAAAAACCAGCATCTACAGCTTGACAGTCTTTCTCTGCTACGTATACTACAGATAGATATTTTCAAACCTGTTCGTGTCTGTCTAGAGGATATTGCGGTGATTGCAGGATAATTTTGCGTTTATAGAGGCAAGGTTGATATTAAAAGGCAGAACTTTCCTTCCTTACTGCAGTAATATAAAGCCCTCGGGCTTTCCTGTGATTTTTCTGTATAGGAAATACTTGGAAAAAACCTAACCTGATCTGAAGTCCTTTCAAGTTTTTACTTTACCTGGGGAAAGGACGTGAAGAAGAATGGAGCCCGTTGCCTGCTGAGCCTGGATGGATTATATTTATTGATATACGACTTTGTTTCTTTTTAAGTCCAGTAACAAAATTGAAAACGAAAAAGTTTTAGTACTTGCTGAAAACCTTTTCAGTTCAGGACCCCGATTGTTTTATTTTGCTTTTAATCCTGGTGCCCGCTGAAATGTCTGTAAGTGTTTGTTTGAAAGACAGCAGTGGCGCTGCTGCAGGAGAGCGCAGTGTTCTGGGGAGGAGAGGCCCCCTCCTGTGCTCCTTATAACAGCTCATTTTGTCCTTTTTACAATATAGTCATTTGCGTGCTTTGGAACTTCGTGGTAGTTATCCTGAATAACAGTTTCATATTTCCAAGCACAGTTTGCAGCTGCCAGGAAAAATAAACTTGCATGTTCAGCTCATTCAGAGCAACTGTAACTAGGGGTGTTTTAAACTGGGACAAAACTAAGGACCTGGAAAGTAAAGCTTGGTCTGGTAGTTCCAGGGCATCCTGAAATACCATTTTTTTTCAAGCTATGGTTAAAGTGGTAAAGATTACTGAATCATGGGATAATGAGTCTCTAGTTTATAGTTTTGAATGCTGTTTGCTTTCGATTTCTTTCAGTTTATCCCGATGTCTCAAAACGTCTTCGTTTTCTTTTTTTCTGGAAAACCAGGGATTCTTATATTTGACTTAAGCTGCCGCTTTCCAATTGTCCTAAGTCATTGTGTTAAAATCTTTACAACAGTTGATAATTGCAAGAAAGGTTCAAGCTCTCGATACACAAACACACAACTGCTCTTCCAGCTGCCACCCAGTTCTACCTTGCACGTCTCGAGGCTGACCGATACCTGTTCATAGTTCTTGCACTGTGGTGGTGATGCTGTGATATTGTTCTGCAGCACTTGGAAGCGTTTCTTCTGGAAGTGAAACTGCTTAAATACACAGGAAAAAACCTGATATAATGAGGAATAAGTACGCATCAAAGTCAGAGCGCGTCTGTTCATTTGTATTTATGAAGCTTTGCCTACTGCAAAGCTTAATAGTTTGACCACTTAAAAAAGTATGGTTTTCAATTTAAGAAATGGTCTTTCCATTAGATGCGTATTACGTACTCTGTGTTTTTTTAAATCAGTGATGAATACTTTGCCCTGAGTAAATGGGTTACATTTTCCACAACGCTCAAGTGCTGTGGACACTACATCATCCTGATCAGTCCCTTACTCACTTGAATTATTCTCGTAAAGAGTGCTGGATTACATCATTTTATTAACTTTCCACTTTTCATCTTGTCTACTTCAGTTGGATAAGAGTTGTCAAAAAACCCACAGCAAATAACATTTTCCTGGCTCAGACCATCACAAATTCATTAAGGAGATAACTTTGTAAAACAGGGCATTTTATTTTAAATTAATACATCAAACGTAATTCAGAGGCACTTCAGCTTAGAATTCCAACGGGAATTCCCATGTAGTAAATTGCACAGTCGATACAACTTGCTTCCAGTAAGCGAAAGTACTGCAATAGCTTGATTTAATTTTGCTAATGTAGAATTTTGTCTTTATTATTTGTTTAAGCAATAACATCATCTGATCGTAAATGCTTCAGAACCGTAAATGGTTTAAACTATTCAGATTTGTTATTATTATTATAATTCAGTCTCATTCAGGTTTAGGTGAGGTATTTTTTTAGCTTGTGGTTTTTTTACAGTTTTCCAATTTTACCTTTTTCTAGATGTCCCGGGATGAGACAGTATGTAAATACTGTGGAGTCAGCTATTTGATACTGCAGGAATTTAAGGTGATGGAAGAAAAAGTAAAAGCGATGGAAAAGGAGATTAAATTCTATGAAGGAAGCATAGAACGGGAAAAAGGACTTCAAGCAGAATTGCAGTCTCTTTACCAAGACCTTGACCACTATCGAGCTGACGGGGAATCGAAAACAGAAAGGTCAGAGCGTATTATCTGGTTTGATGTTGTTCTCGTGTATGTGTATTAGGTAATTTCATTCCAGATAAGTTTAAAATGCAAATCAGGTTTGTCTTTTTCTTTTTTTTTTCTTATCAGATGTAACAGATATACTAATCTAAATAACCTTTCCTAGTATTGTCTGGAAGCAAATTTTAAATTCCTTAATGGTTTGGAAACAGTGAAGCAAAGGGCAGAAGGCAAGCAGCAGGTTCCAAGTGCTCACTGACACGTATGTGAAGGTCCCACTTAAAGGAGGAGTTTTATATTCTTAAGAACCCCAGTGGTTAACAAGAGACCTCAGGGCCACACTGATTTTTTTTTTATTTTTTCTTTTAGGGCACAATGATTAGAGCCTTTAGGTGTGTTCTCTTTTACAGGAAGTTGTACTTTGAAAATATTTGCCCCTTCGAAAGGCTCACTGTTCTGTGGAAGAAATATCAGTGTTTTGGTCTCTTCCAGACCTGGAAGTTGAAGAACTGCCCTTCTTTCTTTTCCTCTTGTCTTCTGCTCTTCATAGTCAGACTCAACGTGGATACTGTGTGCTGGTTTTCTACGTCCTAATTTTCTTTCCTCACGTTTTGGAGTCTATTGTTATATTCCACTGGTTGTTTATAGTACGACTATAAACGCTGATATTTGTAGTTGTCTCCTAAAAGATACTTTGTAAAAATGTAGTTGCTACAGCTGACTACCGACAGAATAACGTGGTACAAGCAGGGGCAGCAGAAACTTCTCAGTAATGTCTTGCGTATCTGAATCAAGCTGTCAGAAACTTCTGGTAAGAGTGAGATTGTAATTTGAATTATCGGCTCCGTCATTTGGATTCTAAAGACCCCCAAGAGGGTGAGTCTTGCATGACCAACTCAGACCTAGTGGGAAGTGATCTGGAATTGGGAGCGTGGGGTGTTTTGAGTGTTAACGTGCTCTTAAGGTTGGGCTGGAATGGTTTGGAAACACTGCAGAAGAGATGACTACAGCTTGTCTATTGGTGAAGTATTGAAATCCATTTACCTTTTTTTATTTTTAAATTTTTTTTCAATGAATCACTCAAACACTGTTTGGAATTTAAGGTCGCTATTAGTGGCTTTAGTTAGGCTTGTGTTTGGTGATATTAGTAATAAGTTTGATTTTAAAGTTTACACAAAGTGGAACAAAACACATGTATCTTGGGTACCACTCGTATTGTTTCTTGCAATATTTTTTATTTTATTTGGGCTGAACATCCGCCACCCACCCCGATATCCAGTGTTTTCTTTGGTTTAGCGTCGTATTTTTGAAGAGTGCGTTTCCTGCTCGTTCCTCTGACAGCTCTGGGTGGCAGTTCCGGTGGCAGTGTTCAGTGTGTTAGCAAATGCACTGACAGCACATTCTTCTTGTTGAGGATCGTTTGCCAGAGGTAAACTTTGAAATTTTCATTTATCTGACTCTTGGAACAGTTAATAAAAATTTTATCTCTGCTTTTTTTTCCCCCCTAAGGCTCAACTTGATTTAAAACCTGCTGAAATCAAGTGAAATACTTGCAATAGGCGTTCATTCAGGCCATAAATCAACTGTTGTGCCTGGTTAAGTAATTTGTCTAAATATTCCTTATCTCTTTACTATCCTGAGCCTCTCTTGTTACCTTGTGCTGTTGGCATAAACTAACCATTCAACTTACTGTCTTGTGGTTCTCACAAGCTCGACAAATCAGTCTTCCCAAACGGCAAATGTTTATTGGAAGCCAAATACTGCTTTTCTAAAAAGCAAAATCTCTGGTACCCCCAGAGTTTCAATTTTTCTCGTTAGTTGTGGACTCTTTAATTATATTTTCCTTTTAGGTTGAAGTATTGCAATTGTTCATACCTGTGTTTAAGCTTGGGAAAGGGGGCTTTTGCAGAAATTCGTTACCTACCCTTCAGGATTTTGTCAGAAGGAGGGGATCCTAGCCGGCACAGAGTTAACTACACGGATTTTCACAATTCTCGCAACATCCAAGAAATGCAACTGCTGTGAAACTTATGCTCCTGAATCACACATGTAGATACTGAAAGTTTTATTCATAAATAAAAAAAATCTTAAAGATAAGCCTCACATTATAATCGGTGGAAACTGCCTTTCTCTGTATCTGTGCTTTTTTTGTGTGTGCGTTCTTGAGTTCATTAGTTCTTACCACAATGGCAAAACTTAATACCGTGGAAAATGCTTTGCTGTTCAATTTGCCTAAAAGAAAATCTTCCTTTCTGCAACATAATTGCTGAGGAAGGCAACAGCAACTACCTGGCTTGGTCAAGTCTGTACTTGTAATAAAACCCTCAAGTGACTGGGCAGTGATAACAGCACACTGCTCTACCCTTAACTTGGTAGAAATGACGTGTGATTTCTTGTCTAGGAGACTGAAAACACTGGAAATGGGCAGTGGCACGTGCTTTAAGAACTGTGTCACCATTTTAAAAATAAGCTTTGAAGGGAAAGGAAAGAGCACAGGACAAAAATGTCATTGTAATATTTTTTAATATGTTTGTTTCTGATGAATATTTAGTGGTAAATTAATGTTGCATTGGTGCAAAAACAAAAAAAAAATCACTGAGAGCCAAATCTGGATGAAATACCCAAAGAGGTAAAGAGCGAACCTCTCCTTTTCTGAATGTGGTTTAGGGCATCCAGTCAGTTGTTTTTGTTATTTAGCGTCCCAGCGGGTAACTTGGGAGATCGCACGTCTTTTGACTCTTTTCGAAAGCGTGACTAACGAACAAAACATCGTTGGGCTGCTGCAGCCGTTATGTGTTTCCAGAGTGATACTGCTGCATCATCTAGCAACGTGAGAAATCAGTTCATCAAGTAGGAAGGGAGCGTTCGTCGTCGCGCTTGGAAGAGACAAGTCAATCCAACAAGTGGCCAAGAGGTATCGGGATCCAGCGCATCCCTGGGTTTTGCACTTCACTGTTTCCCAGCAAAGGGAAGTAGTGTCCTGGTTTTTCGTCGTAGGGAGAATGTAGGGCACATAAGGACTGGAATTGTTCTGTCCCTTTTTGCACTTAATTCTACTCCTCATTAGTGTTAGTTGGCGCGGGGCTCAACACGAGCTGACAGTGCGCACTCGCAGCCCAAAAAAGCGACCAGTGTGCTGGGCTGCACCCACAGGAGTGTGACCAGCAGGGCGAGGGAGGGGATTCTGGGGCCAGCTCTGACCCCGCAGCACGAGAAAGACATGGATCTGCTGGAGCTGGAGTGATGTGCTGTGTGGGGTTCATTCCTTCTGGGCATGTAGCACAGCAAGGAATTGGATTCAACTGTTATTCCCGTACAGTTCCATTCATTTCATTACAATTGTGGGAATAAGTCCCGGGCTGCCGAAAGAACGATATTCAAAATGTATTTATTTACGCCATGGTAGCTGCGCTTGAAAAATAAACAGATCGGAACTGCTGCTGCAGTGAAGAAGTTCAAAAGGTGAATATTTGAGGCAAAGAAAAGCTCTCAGATCTGCTGTCGTCGAAGAATGCTGGCTTTTTTCTCTTCCACTCTGCACTTCCAGTACATCTTGAGTTGGGTATTCCTGTAGATAACGAGGAGCACGTATCATCTGTTCTAATTGCTTTTTCCACGGCTTCTGCAGTGTCACAATCTCATTTAAAGAAGCATAATCGAAGCAGAGATGTGACAAACCTGAATTTGCATTTTTGATAGGAGAGAGGGCACACAGTCTGTTTGTGAGTCCTGATACCAGTAAGCTTTTCTTTTCCTATCCTGGATTTAGGATCTTTTTTCCTGTTGGAATTGCAGTACAATGCTGAAAGTTGTCACTCTGCTGTAATTTAAAAATCTGTTACTTGCTTTCGTGATGAAAGCACCTTGTGGAAGACCAAGGAGGAGGAAGGGTGAAAACACTTCAGTCTCTTAAAGGCAAATATTTCTAGGGGGTTTTGTGACGGTGTCTCCTTCGATCCTCTTCTGTAAGGTGGCTGCTTGCAGGTGGCTCGAGGGGTGTTAGGAGAGGGAGGAGAACCCGAGGAGAGCTGGGGCTCTGGCTGGAGCCCGACACCAGCTGGGATTTGTCAGGTAGAACCACCAGATCACATCCTTCCTGCTCCGACTTGTGGTCAACAGTATTCTGGGCCCAAAATATGCTGGGTGGTTTTTTTGGTTGGTTGGTTTTTTTTTGTTTGGGTTTTTTTTTCAGAAAGGAAGTGGGGAAATACAGAAAATAAATGTGTACTTTCTCTGGCATGTTGTGGGTCAAGCTGGGAACATGGAAACCTAGCTCTAGTCCAGAACTTCCTGCCCTCTCCTTAAGAAAGATGTAGGAAAATAATCTTATTAACTTGACATTTTTGAGCATTTTCATGCTAATGTCATTGCCTGAGTACATAGAAGTAACATCTGGTAGAAACATTTTTGTGAAAACTTTATCTTTTTAAAATGCCATTGTGAAGCAACAGAGGCCTAAATTCCAGCTGGTGGAAAATAATGAACAGGATTTGTTTTACATGTGTGTTGTTTTTAATTATTATTATCTGCTGAGCGTATTAATTAATTCAGCAGTACGACAGTACAGTTCCATGATCATGAGTGTGAAACTGAGGGCAGAGGGAAACAAGAATGACTAACTGAGATTCATCTTCTGCAAATGTCTGAAATGAAGAAATAGAGAAACGGTCTGGATGGAAACCAGTTATGGTAGCAATAACCGGCGACGTTCGTTTTGCTGTTGGTTGACTTTAGAGAATTCCGGCTTAGACGAGCTCCCCACTGCCCTTCTCGGCACAGCCTTGCAATGGCCTGTAGAACCCGCGCAGCCCTTTGGGGTACCTTGCACCCCCCTGCTGGCACCTGCTTTTTAGGTACCCCTAGTAAATTTGCAGATGACTCCAGGCTGGGGAGCAGTGTCGATGTGCCGGAGGGTCGGAGAGCGCTGCAGAGGGACCTGGCCAGGCGGGGCCGATGGGCTGAGGCCAACGGGATGAAGTTCAACCCGACCAAGGGCAGGGTCCTACACTTTGGCCACAAGAACCCCAGAGAGGGACCTGGCAGTGCTGGGTGACAGAGCCAGCAGGGTGCCCAGGTGGCCCGGCAGGCCAGCGGCACCTGGCGTGTGTCAGGTACCCAACTTGACCTTTGTGAGGTTTTCATAGTGGCTTATGTTTTTGGAGGCTGAACGAGTTCTGTGCCACACCTGCGAGTGAACCTGGGTTCGGAAGGTAGTTATTTAGCATTGCACATGGGCTGATGTTGGATATATACACTTCCACAAATTCTTCGAGTGTATTATGATTATGGCTTTGTAGGAGTTGCTCAGGTGGCTCATACAGTGGCCAGATGATTAAATTATCTCCTTTTGGAGATCCAATACCTGAGTCTGAAATACTCATTGATTATCTTTGAAAAGCCTTTTCTTAATTTAAAGCCGCAACAAAAGTTAGCCATTGGTTAGTAGCGCTAATAATGCTTTCTGATTATTTTGTTTGCATCTGTAGAATAAAAAACCTAACAGTGGAACTTAAAACCAAGCAAGATGAATTAAAAAATGTGAAAGAAGATCTGCGATATTTCCAAGAGGAAAAGGAAGCTGCCTACAAACAATCGCAAGCGCTCAGGTAAGAATCCCCCCAAACCCCACGGATTTTGTGCCTCCTGCCATCAGTCGGGAGGATTCAGCGGAGTTGCAGGCAGGGAGAACGCTGTGAGGGAGAAGAGTCTTTATAACCATCCTCTTGGTTTTTTTGCTTTTCCAGACTGTAGCGAGATGGTGAAGGATTAGCAAATGTAACCAGAAAGTATCACTGATGTCTCAGTAAAAAGTGATTGCACAGTTGCCTGAACAGTTTTCTTCGTTTATACGTGACTTTGAAATCAACATTTAGAATTATAAATATATTCAATATGCAATATATTCCATACACTAAATTATTGTAACGTGATATAAGTTACCATGTAACTGAAAACTAGTTGTCAAGTGTACTTTAGTTCCCATGTTTACTAATGCTGTTTTGTCACTTTAAAAACGTACATTTGTGGGGTTTTTCTTTGTCTTGCAGAAATACGGTGGAACACCATTGCTCAACTCTGAACAAGGCCATCTCGCTGTTCCCTTTTATTAGAAGCGAACTTGACAGTATTAAAGAAGTCATCTCCAGCAACCTGGAGAACTGGGCTGCCATGAAAGAAGAAATTTTTCTACAAATAAAAACCGTTAGCAAAGAAGCTTTGACAGGCAAGTCACCTTTTCAAATTTAATCTGAGCCAGGGCGTGCGAGCAAACCTGCACCCAGCCTGTGGCAGCTACTCCCTGCTTCCGTTTCTGAATAAGAGCTAAATGACACCCAACTACAGCTGTCTGTATCCGAGGGGTTTGGGGATGGAGAAGGGGCACGGAGCAGCCCGTGGGCCGAGAATAATTCCCTTGGCCCAGAGCCCGTTTCCTGCTCAGACAAGGGCAGCCTTCAGGAGGAGAGAAGCTGGGAGCGAGTCACAACCGACGGCTTGTTCCTGAAGGTCGTGCCCAGCCCTCGAGCTGGCGGTCAGACTTAAAAAATCAGATTTATCCTCAAAGACCATTTTTTCCTCTGCCTCAGTTAAGAGGTTAGTTTTGCTGAAAAAACTGCACGGTGCTGTAATGACAAACTGTAACTTTCAAAGCATCCAAACAGACCCTGGGCTGACTTTTGCAACTTTAGTGGCATCTGGACATAATTTTTGTGTGTATTCTTTGCCTACAGTTTCCTGGTGTGCTCTGTGTGTGTGAGTTGGTGAGCTGCTGTTCGCTCTGGAGGTTAGTTTTGTCAGGGTTATAAGCCAGCCAAGAAGTAGGTGAGCTGATGGTACGTGTGAGCTGATGCGATGAGGGCACGGAGCGTGACGGGCATCTCCCACATCATTCTGCTGGTGAAACCACGTGAGCTTGGGTGCAAATCCGCAGCTGAAGCACAACGCGTGTGCATGGAGTAGGTCAGAAAACACGTAGCTTCATTTTAAATAATAGCTCCCCAGCAGCTTACACTTCCTGTGCAGTTGGAAGTATTTTTTTTTATATTTTCAATGATTGCTTTCTTCAGATTTGGAAGAAATAAGCGGGGCAGCTGTGGTGCAGGAGCGAGGGGGCATGAGTCCCACCGAGCCAGCTCCCGGCTCCAAGATCCTGAGGATCCTGAGCCCAGAAGGGAGGGCTCCTGCCTGCATGAGATGAGCGTGACCGGAAAAAAAAATCCACTCTTTAGTATTCAGTTTCTGTAAGAACGATTAATTTAAATGTCAGTGTCAATATCGTGCCTTTTGATTCATGACTTCATCTCCTAATTAGGCTGAGCACGGAAAGTATTGTCTGTCCCTAAGGATTCCTCTCTTCCTGTGCTCATTCTCTGCCTGTTTGCAGCTAATAAAGGGAATACGAACATGCGTTTCTCTAGACGTTCTCAGGTTCAAAGAGATGCATAACATTTTAAGGCTTCTTTTCTGGAGTATCCCTTGCTTTACTTGCCATAAAGCATATCCGTATGGAAGCAGAAGAGCAGCCTTTTATGTTCTTTTAATGGTTATCCGTGCCATTATGCACAGTGCCTGTCCCTGACTGCATCCGTTGTAGCCCACTGAGAGCAGTGCCACATTGCGCACGTTATGTACATCTTTAAATCTAGCTCTCTACATCAAAACAATTTAGTCACACCTCATTTATATTTCTTTTTGGCCTGTGAGTGTCATTCAAAAGCTTTTATGTTCTGGTGTGATGAGTTGTAAATTATGAAGTTGTGGTAACATGTAATGAATTTTTTTTGTTTAATTTACCATTTTCCATCCAGATTTCAAGAGTAAAAATGCTACATGAGGTGCTACTCCATATGCCTAGACCACTTTGCTTGTTTAGTTTGAAAACAGCTTAAACAAGCCCTTGTATATGTTATTTATATATGTGTATATTTATAGATGTATATGTTATTTAGCCTTGGTTAACTGATGGCAAGTAGAAAGAAGAACTTAAAATCGTTTTGGTATTTACATAATTTAGCCTTAACGGTACGTTGGTTTAAGTGTGGAGTAGTTGGGAGAGATTGTTGGTAATGAAGGTAGTGTGGGGTACTTGGGAAAGATTGTAGATAATGAAAGTGTTTGCACCACACGTGGAGAGCATATGAAACGTGCAAGAGCCGACTTGACAATAGAATTAGGCTTCGTGTAACTTGAACATTGTCACTATTAACCTAAATAAAAGTGACAGAAGGTCTTTGGACAATTGAACATTTACGGCCGTCGCTGGAGAAGGATAGAAAAGAACTGCAACCGCTTTTGCAAATGTTCAAATGACTAAACTCAGGAAAAAGTATGAAAATGGAGGAGACCCACTTTACCCCACCCAGGATTTGCGTATTTCCCCTGTGGTAACAACTACCTGGGAAACTTCCTTGGGACTGCTGCTCTTCCGTGGTGAAGAGCTGATGAGAGAGAGAGTGAAAAAGCCTGTCTTTTAGTTAATGAAGATGCACTTTGTGATACAGCAGTGGTTATCTAAGGAGTGAGCGAATAAAGTGGAATACACGTGCCCGGACATCTTCTGAACAAGCCTTTCAAACTGAGCTTTAGCAGAGGCTAAACTCCCTTGGTTTCTCCTCACATTAATTTCCAAATAAGTTTGCAATTCTTTTTTTTTGTGTGCCAGCAGTTGTTTGCTTGTCTTGTTAAGGTAAAAACCTCAGATTCAAATATTTGTCACCTGTTGTTATTTCATTTGGGATATATAGGTGTATTTTAATTTGATTGTGAGATCATAGACAGATATATATTATTACTTAGAATAAACGTTTTGGTTTTTGTCAGTGCTATGTGTTTGGCTAAGCACAAGTGTGCGGAGCAACTGCACAAAACCCGTCTTTGGGCCCTCTGCGTTCTCAGCAGAAATGTTGCTGATGTACGCGGCTTACACTGATCCATGCCTGAACTGGGGTTACAGAATGCTGATGTCATAAATCAGGTGTAACACTTTTGAGTGAAGAAGGTAAATTTTACAATAGTCAGTGTGATTTCTTTCTCCTCAGAAATACCGAAATTGAACGAACGATTAGCAAAATCCCAGAGAGAGAACGAATGCCTCCAAGAAAAGGTGAAACATCTGACGTTGGTGGCTGACACGGTCGAGCTGAAAACTCAACAGCTTCAGACTTCACTTCAGCAAGGGAATGAGCTGCAAAGTAGGTGCCGTGAGCTACAAAAGGAAACGTTAGGTAAGAGAATTTTGACATTGCAAGCGAGCGTCCAAATAAAACGAAGCACAAAAAGATATTTCTTTAAGGCTGTGACTGTGAAAGTTCTCAGCAGTCCAGCCCAGACCCGAGCAACACGGGGCTGCTGCGCACTCAGGAAGACGGTATGTCACCGAGGAGTCTGTTCCCCTGCTGGGAACACGACTCTGCTGCAGGGGGGAGCAAAAGTCAAGGAAGGAAAGCAGTGGAGATGGTGGTAATACAATTGTGCTGTTACTTGTCAAGTCCATTTTATGTAAAACGTCAGGGAGAAGGCTCTGAGCTTAAAATGAAAATAAACGTGCTCCTCTTGAGTGGAAGGCCAGGCAGGATGTTTTGGCTATCAGCAACCAGAGTGAAAAGTAGGTCAGGTTAAGGCAGTCTCTTTTCTCCTAGATTCATTAAACTCAAGTCTGTCTAATGACTTGCCCTCGATAGTGTGTCTTGAGAATCCGTAGAGTCCTCTTGAAAACTCTAAGAGCAGAGATGGCCCTTGAAATTATAATATCTTGTGAGCTCTGTTGCGGCAATAACTCATTACAGACAGATTATTTACATTAGTATCTCTTGAATCTCCTCTTTAAAACGATATTGCATTCACAGCGCTGGCTCAGAGACATTTTGAAACTTTGAAAACATAAAAAGGTTGTGCTGTTCTGGGCACGGTTTTGAGTCATCGAATTGGCACGGCAATTACCACGCTGCCTTAGCGCAGCGTGTAATGTCAGATTTAAAGCAGTAGGTCTCGGAGCTAGTCATGATGAAGGAATTTCACTGATCCTTCAACTCCAGCGATAATATCAGACGTGAGACTGCAAAGTAGAAGACTGCAGTTGCCATCCCATGAGTTACCAGCCCGTGTTGCTGAGAACAGTCTTTATTTTTGTCCCTGTACGACCACAGTGGTTGGAAGCCTCTGGCTCGTGTTTGAGTGGTAGAAATGAGCAGCCAACTCTGCATCATTTTCTAGACAATGTCCACGTAAGAAATAGACTTAACGTGTCTTCCTTTTTGTCATGTTTATTAAAAACCCCTAACTTTAAATGAATGCAGAATCAGTTAGATTCTGCTGCTAAGTGTTCCAGTACCTTGGAAACTTGCCCATGACATTTTTTGGTAGGCTTATTTCCTGGTATTAGCCACCTCTTGTGACTTAATCCTCTGCTCGGAGTAAACTGGCAGGCGAGATACGGGGAGAAGGTTGCCTTAAAAGTGTTCAGCTGTCAGCTGGGAGCCACAGCATTGCATTCTGAAGACCTGAGTGAATGAAAAGAAATACATTAGCTGCATTTAAATCTCCTTCTTCAAGACAATCTCAAACACACCATTGCACAGTGTAAAACTTTGGGCCTTTTTGTTTGGCTCGTATGAAAAATGGCTAGGAGAGGTGGTTGTTTTCTTTTTAGGAGGCATGAATTAAAATGCTAGTAGTATGTAAATGGTATCTGCTGTGTTGATTTTTTGCAAGAAGAGTAAACAATCTCCATATTATATATACTTTATATGTATATAATGTACTCTATGTCTGTGACAGTGCCTGGGTAAAAAATATTAATAACGAAGCCAAAATCCCAAATAAGATCAAGGTAGCATTGCTAGAAAAGAGAAAACTGAAGGAATTAACTAGTTGCACCAGTTAACTAGATCACGTGGCCTGTCTCAGGAGCACGAGGTTGACCGTCACTTCTCGTGTTTTACTTGAAACTTTTGGAAAAGATGTTAAAAATACATTTGTTTGTTTTGAAAAGATAGGTGTGTTTCTCCTCCAGTAAGAGATTCATGGTTCAGCCAAACAATCTGTGTACGTGTATAACTGCCAGGTTTCCCTCTTATAATGCCACAGTCCAAACTTGGAAAATTAGGTCCTGTAGAATATTCAGTGTATTTGGTTTCTTAACATTCAATTTATGTCTTTACTTAGGCCGAAATAACCTTAGAGGCAGAGCTGAGAGGCTCTTACTGTGCTGGCAGTCGCTCAAGCGGACAGGGTCGCTCGCTGTAGCCAAGGTGACTGGCTCCAAACCAGCCCGAGCGCCGCAGATCCCGTGGTAAAACCTCCAGCAATGATTTGTTGCAGTTGATTAAGCTTTCCTTTCTCTGCTGGCAGAGCAGCACTTCTGGAAAGAAGGTTTGGTCTTTAGTGTGGTCTTGTGCCACGCAAAGAAACTGCCTGAAAGTTCGTTTCTACAGCAATCTGAATGTTCTGCTACAAATGCTGGTACCTGCAGTGATTTACGCGTCACTTTGGTAATTGCCTTCAGAATCCTTGCACCAGCGTGTTGGTACGTGCTTCTTAGGTGTTGATGTAGTGTGGTGTTACATTTTTTAAGAAGCAGTGGACATAAAATTCTCATTTTGTCGTAATACTCGGCTTTCTTCTGTGTTCCATATAACCAGAAAACTTCTTTCCAGTTTCTTTTTAGGAATATCTTATCAGTACTTGTACAAAGATAGGAGGCAAGTCCGAAGTGCTTAGATAATTTACCTTTCTCTAGAAATTTGAGCTTCTGCAGTTTTCAGAAGGGTCTGCCACCTACCTGCCTTGAAGAAGATACAAGTAAATGCGAAGTGCTTTTTTCTTTTTAGGTGGAAAAATTAGTCACAATAAAATAACCCTAGCGCAAAAAATATTTCCTTCTCAAGTACGCTGTGATCCTTTACTTGTGTTAAAGTGTTTCAATTACTTTTTTTTTTTTTATAGTAAGTAAAAACCTCATAGGTGACCCAAGTGAAAGTGTCAGTGCTGGTGTGCAGGCTGTTCTAGTTCCTTAGGAACGGCCCTTTTGGACAATTTCTGGATATTACTTGTTATAAGGTGCCGTGCTGAGCAGAACTCAGATCGTTGTGCCCGTCACCGAGTTAATGTTTTCTGGCGAGGTGGCCGTACGCGGGCATGTGGCGCTGACTGAACTCAGCGGGAGTTCACAGGCATTCTTGGGAGCTGGAATGTTGGCACCCGTGGCTCCTGTAGAAAGTCTAAAGTCCACTTGACTCCCTGTTCTGTCCTCACCCCTGAAAAACACCGCGCGCTTCAAAGGAAGGAACAGGAACTCCAGAAGAGCAATTATAGGATAATCTATCTTCCTTACGTGCCTCGTCTTGATCTGTGAGGGCCTTGAGCCTAACGAGACAATCTTCTAAGCTTTGAAATACGTGGTTTGGTATCATTGCAAAAGATATTTGAATTGCTACATTTACGCTGATATGAAAGCTGCCCTTAGAGATCCCTTTTCGGTTCGTAAAGCTGTTTACCTCAGAATTTCCTGTAGACAATGAGCTCATTTTTTTTTCACTCTGTAAAAATACACTTTCAGTTTTGCCCACCCTTAGCTCCACAGAGAATTGCCACGTTCTGTTAGAAGGCCAGAGAAAGGCATTTGCAGTCTGTATTTTTGTTTTATTTTGTGAAAGATTGTTTGGTGCGTTATATATTTTTGTGATGCTTGCGTGTCTTTCTGGCTCATCTTCTCAAACTCTGAATTTATTTCCTGAAGCTGGCACGCTGCATCAGACCATCACATCAAGCATTTGGTTGTATTTAGGTTCTAATTTCTTGCCTTTCGTTGATATGTACAACTTCAGGAAATAACTGTAGCACATGTACGGGTACCACAGCATGAGCAGGTTCAGGCTAGCTCACAGAGAGAGTATCTCTTTTTGTGCTGAAAAAATATGAGCTTACAAGGAGGTGCCTTGTCTAGAGGCCCTCTTCTAGTTGGTGGATCATTCGCCTTTTTTTTTTCTTTAGAAGTATTGCTTATTGTATAAGAAAACCAAGATTGCTCAACATTTCCTGTAAGATGATCTCTGCTTTTGGTGGCGTAGAGTATTACCAAACCGATCAGTGATTTTTGAACATTAATTCCATTAAAGATGATCATAGCTTTCACGTAGCTAGAAAAGTCATTGGATTTTACGTTAAGTCTTACGCTGCAAAAATTTTTCTTGAAAGCTTCATGAACCCTCTGCACTGGGGTCTCACCAAAGCAGAGGGACGGAACGACCTCCCCTAAGTGCAGCTTCTCCAGGCTTTGTGCTGGGCAAGGAGGAGACTACAAAACACTGCGTGGTTACACACAGCAGGTCCAGAAGGAAAAACAAAAGAGCTTTTCCTTTTTCCCCTCTGGTCTGATTCAGATGACTCTTAACAATGGTTTGTTGCGTCGGGTGTCCTCCGCTGAGCAAAGGCTTCCGTGTCCTTCTCGGGCACTTGAGTTTTAGTTTCTATTCTCGTGTTGCCAGTGAGTACAGCGTGTGCTTTCGGTGGTGGCAAGGGTTCCACTGGAGCAGACCCAAGGTGACGAACTGTTCCTCTTCCTCTCGTGCTGTCCTGGCGCCTTGGTGTCCCCCTTGTTCCTCACCCCGCTTACTTCCACCTCCGTGCCCTCACCAGGAGCTCCTAGTGTTTGTACCGAAAGAAAACGTGATGAAAATTTCCCCTTTTCCTGCTTCTGATGAAGACTTTACTCCGTCCCCATAAATCCTGTGGATTTTTGTCTCTATCAGCACTGCTGGTAGGGTTTATTCCTAGTTTTGTGGTTTTCATTCCATATTTATGATTTAAGAAGCTGCCTGTTGTAGTTTTGATGGGGTCAAATCCCCCTCTAGTAGCCTAGAGCTACCATGTATGGTTTTGCCTTTTTGGTGTAGGTATCTTTTTATTTTTTTCCCTCCCCGTCCGTTCAAAGGAATATTTTGAAAGTTGTTTATAAAGAGATTTGAGTATTTACAGTGCTCAGCAGAGCTACTCCTTCCCTCCAAACGTCTGTGAAGTTCACTGCGACATTATCTCTCCTGCTCGCTCGCCCTTTTAAAATGTGTTTTCAGAGAAGAGGGAGTAGAAAAAAGAAAAATAAAAAAAGCGCATGTAATGGGCTCACTGCAAGTTATCTCCATGGTTAGTGTGACTGTGGATTCTCAGGCATCTCGGCAGTGTCTCCTTGTGCTGAGGGGTCACTGTGACCGCTGCTCATCACGCTGTG